AAGCATCAAACTCTCTATTGAGATTTAAATGGTCCGCAAAATCACATTACTATGAAATTTTTTGCTTGAACCTATGGATAAATCTTAACAGAATTATTTTCAACTTTTAACTAAATTAGCAAAATGTCTAGGAATTACAGAAATTTAATCTTTTTCACCAAATTTATATGTTTAAAATAATAATTTATCAATTTCTCACTAATTTCTTTGCTTCTACATTAGCTAGATTAATTTCCTGCTTCAAGTGCCAAACTATTGCCTAGAAAATCAATCTAACTTCTTTTTTCTATCCATTTTTCCATCGATCTTTTGGCCAAAAATTCAATACAAAAAAAGACCCACACAAATAAAAAATACGTACATTAAGGTATGCAAAAAGTATAAATAAAACCAGAACAAGAGTCCCAACGAAAAAAATATTGAAAATAAAGCAAAAGGCAGATTTTTTTTCCCAAGTTGACCCTTTCAAAATTAAAATTGAAGACATTTTTATGCAGAATAAACCAAAAGTGTCTTCACATCATCAATTCAGAACAATCATCGACAAACAAAACACATAAACACAAAATTAATAAAATGATGAAAACTCAAACTCCTAATGCATTAATGATAAATATAGTAATCACGGTAAGATAAGCCCGTACCTTAGAATTTTATTCAGCTTATAAAACCATACCTTGAAAATCTATTCAGTGTTAAAAGCACATTTCAACCGAAGCCCCCAATCAATATAAAGATCGATGTGAGAGACGAGAATGAGAGGTTGAGGAGTGAGGTGTCGGGTGGAACCGTAGAGAGGCAGAAGCAAAGAGGAGTGAAATCTGGCTTCTCTGCCTTTCTTTCGATTGGGCTTTTCACCAATAATCCAAAACTTTGAAAAAAAAAATGAAAGCAATTTGGGTTGGGCCCAAAGTTCAATATGTTGGGCTCTACCCCTGGCGATCTGAGTAGAACTTGTAGGTGCATTCTCAGGCTAACATTTTGCAAAGCCTGGAGTGCTCTTCTTCCACGCATCTTTAATTTTGCCATCACCCAAGTAGGCCAGTTTCTCGAAAGCCTTGCGAATAGCTTTAAACCCATTAGAGAATTTTTTACTGCACAATAAAATTTAGGCCACCTGATTTTATCCATCCTGAAATGTCCCTCAATTATTTCCAGTGAAATTTTCAGAATGAGTTGAATGCATCACATGTTGGTGACCATGGGGGACAAGATTTGGCATGCCATCTAAATTAGCAAATTCAGACCCCTCGGAGTGGATATATCTGTAGTGTTTTTGTCTATAGGTAGTGCAGGAATTCCCAAATCAGCTGTGAAATGGTGGATCAAACTTAGATAGGGAAATTTGTACTGCTTCGCTCTATTGAGTCCCTCATATATTTGTCCAATTCAAGATATTTTTTCTGAGAGATGTTATTTCAATTGCAACTCAAATAGAACTTCTCCATTTGTTCGTTATGCAATGGTCGATTTATAGGGAACTGTATGGGCATTTCAATCATTTTCTATTATTTTGTTGTAAGTAATGATTAAGCTCAATTTTCAAAGCTCATTGATATTTATGCTTTTGTGACACTTGTCCTATACCAGTCCACTAGCACGCAAAATCATGAGGTACTTGCATCCAAGTTGATTTTGGTCTAATAGTTAACCAAGGACCAAATATTCATTTCATGTCATGTGAGTGAGACCCTTTTCATGATAAATGTGATATTGAAGTGGATTATAATAGCTTTTGTATCTAACTATGTGTGTACTCAATGATCTATATTTTATCTCTCAAGAATAACAAAGTGATAAGGTTATTTTATACACTTATTCGAGGCCTTAAAACGATAATATTTAATGTTTCTCTAATAATTTATGGTCTAAATTATTGCCGTTGATGATGAATAGGTAGAAGTATATAGGTACAAGAAAGTGGAAGAAACGAGAGGAAAACCCGAAAAAAGAATGAAACGCAAAAGTTCGGGGACCAAGTTGTAACAATTCAATAGTTGATCCAGACCATGAATCGAAGATTGACGAATTTGGAGATCAAATTCCATATTTTTGAAAATGAAGGACTTGAATTGAATCAAGAAAATATAGGTTGCAAGAATGAAAAGACTCGAGGGCTTCAATTTATTATATTGAAAGATTGAGGACTTGAGGGTAATATTGCATTTTAAGGTTTTGAATATTTGTTATATATACACAGACAAGCGGGAGGCTGAAAAAATTCTGGCTACTAGGTTATATATAGGCAACCAATTTGATATATCATATGTCACAGAAATTGGAGCAGGAATAATCCCTTTTTTTTTAGAGAGATATACGTATAGAAAAAAAGGAATTGGAGGTGGCCAATTTGATTTTTGCACACACTTTGAGGCCACAGAGGAGATTGACGCAGATGAAGAGAGAGAAATGGAAGGAAGCTGTTTGAGGGAATACACACAGAAACCAACTACAGATTCACGCTGCAAAAATTTAATCGTGTTACATCAATTTTCGGTAATGTCTTCCGTAATTTCTCATTTTTCTTTCATTAATATGCATAGCTAAATTTAATTTTAGGACGAACAATGTAATCTATTTTGGACCTTTATTTCTTTTATTTGAGATTCATTGTTCTTTTTATATTTTATGTATGGATTTTAATCGTGTTTGTAATGCTTTGAATTTTCTGGTCAATCCTTCAATGATGTCGTGAACAATAATTTCTTAGAGATGCGAATTCTTGTTTAGACCACATATTAAAATTTGGCAAACTAATTACTAAGATCATCCTTTGACTTGAGGTCATCATAGTGCCTTATATGAAGACAGTCATGCTTTGACGATGTTGGATGTTGCTCTACCAAGGGCCACTAATACAGCATCGTTTGGGTATGTGAAGAATCGTATGAAAATTGTGAGTGACCAATAGAAGATTGGTCGCTCTTAAATAGTAAGGGATTATGATTTGCATTTCATTTAATTAAGTCGATAACGAAATCCTTGGCCAAGGTGTACTCATAAGTCAAAAAAAGTTTTCGACTTATATCAACTTTAATAATAGAATGAAACATATGATCAATAACCGGGATTGACATACTTTCGTATCTCATAATTGATCGGATTATATTGATGAAGAGATAATAGTTTCACAATAAACGAACAAGTTTGATTTTATCATACCACATGACATTTTTCGTTACATGTATTGCCATGATACACATACCACATGACATTTTTCGTTACATGTATTGCCATGATACATTATTAGATGTCAATCTAGGACGGCGAGTGTGAATCGGTGATAAATTAAAAAGGTATTTTAATTTATCAATTTTGATTAAATCAAAATAATATTTTATATTGTTAGGCATCGTGATAGGAAACCTGATGGGTTGTACACAAAAAGAGAATTAGAAGATTGTAATTTATCAATTAATTTAACAAGCGTTGGATAAATTAATTAATTGGGTTGCTTATTTATAGGCCCGAATTAATTAATTAATGAATCGGAATTAATTAAATGGGTTAATTAAATATTGGGCTAGGTCAGACCAAGCCCGTTTGGGTTTATATAAATATTACTAGGATTTTCAAAATTCGTAGAGAATTCATACTTGCTAGCATAAGAGGAAAAAACCCCGGTTCCAACAATTTTGTTCTCTATGTGGATTTCCATTCGGGGTTAGATAATTGGACAGTTATGGATGATGAATCAAAATCGTTGGAAGAATAGCAAAGGGGTTTGTAGATCTTGTAAAATGTATAATTTCTATCTAAACACAAAGACGACTCCTGGTGGGAATTGAAATCCATTTCTATTTCTGCTGGGCATGATAAGTAGATTCCTAATAATTGCTGTAGCTTGGCTACCGTCAGATCTTGAAGTAAATTCTACCCATCAAACAAAAAGGGACTAAACCAGAATGGCTATTCAAACTAGAATTTTTTACCGGGTGGAAATGATGTTCATTTTTAACAAGTCTTATGTAAAAGTCATGCCAAATTAGAGAGAGAAACAAGAGCAACAATTAGAAAATTCTATAATTTGATGCATAGTAGGATTTGTAGCTAATTTCAATAAATATGTTAGAGGTTCTAGTGTGTTATTTATTTTATACACGTTTTGGGCGTCGTTGTGTAAGTTAAGTGGAACACATAGACTGTAGTGTTTGAAATTTTTGTGACAAATAGTTGAGCTTTGTTGGCTGCATTCACTCTACAGCTGTCAAGAATGTGTTCACTAATCATTGCAATTTATCAATTGTTAATCTACATAGTACATTAGTTAAGTAGTAAAGCAGCATTATGAAAATTTGATCGTCTTTACGAATATAGTCACCCTCATGTAGCATTCTTTTGCACCCAATTTGACCTTGGAAGACTATAAAAATTTCCAAAATTACAAAACTATGTTATCCAGAGTTAGTAGATTATTGTTAGTAGTTGATAAGTATAGTATATCCACTTATTTGGGCCTTAAATTAAATGTTTCGATGATCTTTTGATAATTATAGCTCTATTTATTGTATATTTTGTTTGTTAGAAGAAACTCGATGATTGAAAGTAAAATTGAAATTCAAAATTTGAGTATTCAATTGTAACTTTTTAATAGTTTATTCAGACCACAAAACGATAATTGAAGATTGCCAAGAGTCAATTGGATGCAATTAAAAGTAAAAAAAAAAAAATGAGTTAAATTATTTTCACAAATCAATTTCCTCAGGTAGCGAGGCATTGAGAAGTGACTGAAGGTTGTTCTCGAGTTGAAAAGCAGCGATCAATAACAGATTACAGGGGAGACAGCGGCAAGTGGTAGTAGGATATAGAAGAAAGAGGCAGGGGAGATTGAAAACTAATGTAGTGATGGAATGCACTGAAAAGTCAATGACGTGAGGGAGGACGATGAGTGTGGTGGTGGTTGGGCTGGTAATGTGGGTCATGGGTTTGGGCTTGCTGTGGATTGGACCCGGGGATGCGTGTTACTAATTTCATTTTGTTGGGCCGTTTAAGCTTTTTATATGGGCTGGTATTTGGTAAATGTCTATAGTGGGCTGGTATTTGGGGTTGTGGTACGTATTTGGTGTAAGTAGTGGGCTATGCTAAAGCCCTTTTTAGGTGCAGCATCAGCATCAGTGTTCTCCTGGATTTTGACTTAAAACAACAAACTGACTGCAATTGATTTTTATTTCACGTTTTTTCCTCTCCTTTTTATTAGGATTATAACAACTAGTAAAGAAGAATAAAGAGAGAGAACATGCTAGCTGTTATGATCTGGACGAATGGAATAATGGAAAATATTACTCTAAATGATTTTAGTTTCTTTTCTGCCTAAAATAGACTTTCCAATTTGCATCATATAGCCAATGGTAGATTTTAAGGATCTAGTTGTTTTACGTGTTCCAGTAGATACAGCAATGAACTGAATGGAGCAGTAAACAATAACCCATGTGGACAGACCTGAATTTGTAAGGAAGAAGAGTTAGTTTTTTGTTGTTGAGTTTCTCAAATTTATCTTTTATTCTCTCTTTGCAGAACAATATTACTATCTTCTTCCCTGGCTTAATAGATGGTTCATTGGGTGATATGTTGTATTTCCACTCTTTCAAAAAGGAGCCCGGTCTAGTCATCGACATTGTGCAAGTTGAAGATCTTCACTGTCATCTTATGCTAATTTGTAACAATGTAGAATAATGGACACAATTAAGATAAACAGATATTAGGGCCATGAATTGTGAGGCGGTCCATGCTGGTCTCAGGAAGACTGGAATGGTAATTCTTGGAGAGGGGCTGCCCAAGCATCATATATGCAATGCAAATATGATGCGTAATGGTGCGGATTATGCTATATTTATCGACACACCACAAGAGCCTGATGGAAGTGATTCAGTTGCCCACCCTGACAAAGCTGTGTCTTGGGGTAAAATTCGAGGTTTTGCTAATTCAGTGAAGGTTGGACATTTTGTTTCTTTGTCTTTTCAATTCATCAATGTGCTGCATAGTTTACAATTCGGTTATTTTTCATTGATATTGGGTGCACTGTGATGCAACTATTGCTTTCCCCCTCCTGGTAGCAGAAACATTTGCTGCCAAGGCAAAAGGATCAGACGAAACCACTTCTTGGGTTTAATCTGACAGATCATAATCGTAGACTAATTTACATAGATAGGGGTCTTACTCATATTTGAGAGTGCTTTTATTGCTTGGGAAATAGTGAGAGCATTAGAGTTGTCATTAACCCTGCTGATTAAGGGACATTGTGAGTGATGCCGCATCTTTGAAATTTTTTTACTATAGCATTTCTTGAAGAGGAGCTGAATTAGTGTTTTAGTAGTCTTTGTATTTGGATTGTATAGTATTGTCCGAGAGTCGCCTTTAATTTATAGATAGCATTGTTGATAAGTGTGTTTTTGCACACTTATTTAGATCACAAACACGACTTAATAATGAGCAAAATGATTGAATTGTGACTTACTCTCGTTATATTTGTGAATTGTAGGGAACACCGATGAACATGGTGAAATTCAGAAGAAAAGAGCTGAAAAAAGACTAAAATGGAGCAAAGTGATAGTTCGGGGACCAAGTTGCAAATAATCCATAGATGAGACGGGAAATGGAATGAAGATTCAAGAGTGTTAGAGGTTAATCGAATGAGGAAAGGAGTCATGAGGTGAAATATAATCGAAGTATTATCAAGTATCAACTTTCAGGTGAAAAAGCTATGCTCGTGATTTTTAATTTCTACTTGAGATTCATTTTTGACATAGTGAACATCAGAATTTGAGGAAGCCTATTTCTATCAAAAGTATAGATCTTTGAGTTTTCTTCACAATGAACTTTGAATCACTTCAATGGAGATCAGGAGAGAAAGTTATGACCAAAATACTAAAAAATGTTCAGCGAAAAGAATGGTATAACTATGCGGTCGCATAGAAGCCTCCCGAGAACTTTTTCTCAAATTTTTTTTACTCTATGCGACAGCATAGAAATGTACTATGCGGTCGCATAGAACAAGATTCGGGGCCGATTCAGCAGTTTCCTTATTTCGTCGAAACTCTTATGGAAAGGAGATTTTTAGGGTTCTATATAAACTAAAACTCGACCAGAATGATGGGACGCCACTTTTACAGAATTGGAGGGGATTATACACAATTTTGGAGGATTTGGAGAGGAAGAACAAGGCAAAAACAAGGCAATCCACTTCAAGATTCAAGACTTCACTTCAAGAATCAATTGGGTGATATTCTTCCTTGGTTTTAATTATTGTTTTTCTCTTTATTTCCCATTATGTTAGGCTAGATTTTCATGTGCTAGGATTTGCGATGAACCTTATATTATGAACCCTTAATCTTGAAATTTATTAATTTGACGTTAAAACATGTTTTTAATTATTGAATGATTGGCATGGATTTTATTTTCTTTACAATTATGTGCGCAATAATTGTATGAGCTTTGTGGCTTGTTTTACCCTCGAGAGATGGAAAATAAGTTAGACATTATGTTAATTATCGTAAAGTTCGATAGGGGATAGAAATATACCGCTATGCTTTACGTGATCTTTAAGTATTCATAAATCTTAATGCATTTTTATATGTTCGCATCCCTCATAGAAATATAGTCGGATCACATGTGAAAATAGGTTGAATTCTACTCGAGAGAGATTGTTAAACAAATTAGGAATATTGGTTTTCATAATTGAATCGTGTTGTCAATTTTATAAAATTCGTATTAAAGAGGATATCATAAGGGGATTCGGAATCCTAGTACGCATTTCATTATCATATTTTTATAAAACTTGCATTTAGTTATAATCACGCATTTAATCTAGTTAATTTAGGCTTTATATTTATAAGTAGGTTATTAAATCATAATTTAGTTAGCAAAAATATCAAGAATTTCTATTGTTTCGGTTGAGGCGATGATAGATAAAATTAAACTAATCAATCTCTGTGGGACGATATTCGGACTCATTTAATCCACTTTATTACTTGTTAACGAACCGTACACTTGCGGTAGTTTTAAATCGAAAGAAATAATTTCGCGAACAAGTTTTTGGCGCCGCTGCCGGGGATTGAGTTCAATTTAATTTTATTTTTCTATGCACTAATTCGAAATTTAATTTTCGTTCTCTTTTAGTTTTTATTTTTTTTATTTTTTTATTTTTTTTATTTTTTTATTTTTTTTTGTCTTTGTTTTGTTTTTATTATTCGATCTATCGTTTTAGTATCTAAGTACTACTCTTATTTTTCTCTTAAATTTGCATGCTAAGATCGACTGGAGGAGAATTGATTCCGGCCGATCTTGAAATTGAACGCACTTTTCATCGACTACAAAGAGAGAACCGAGAAGCAAAACTGTAAATGGCTAACGAACTAAACAATCCTATTATCCCAGCCAATGAAGGAGAGGCAGTGAACGAAGGAAATGCGATTTTGGGCGACTTCTTGACTCCTGAAGTGATTCAAAGCCAGTCCAACATTGTGTATCCACCGTTTGGGCACCCCAATTTTCAATTGAAGACGAATGGGATACAGCTATTCCAAAATGGACATCAATTTTATGGCAGAGCCGAAGAAAATCCACATACATACATATCTCGATTCTTGGATATGTGTCAACACTTCAGATATCAAGGAATCTTGGACGATGCTATTAGGCTAAGGCTTTTTCCACACACCTTGCGAGAAAAGGCACTTGAATGGTTGGATTCGCTTCCTATTGCAAGCATTACTACTTGGAATGACCTGGCTCACAAATTCTGCACGAAGTACTTCTCACCAGCCAAGATAGCTAAAATGAGACACGAAATATCCATTTTCAGCCAGGGAGAATCCGAATCATTTGACGAAGCCCGGAACAGATTCAAGAATATGCTCTGGAAGTGCCCTCAACATGGGTTCGACAAAAAGACCCAAATCCAATTCTTTTATATAGGGTTACTCCCGTACTTCAAAAGCATGGTAGACTCATCATCAGATGGCTCAATTTCTACACGAACAATCAATGGAGCACTAGAATTATTTGAAAGAATGGCAACTACTTCAGCGATGTGGACATCTGAGTGGGTAACTCAAAAGAAACCTCCGGGTGTTTATGAGGTCGATACTTATTCAGCCATATCTGCGAAGATTGACTCGCTGTTTCACAAGGTTAGAAAGCATATCACAAACAGCACAAAATAAGAAGTTTAGCTGTGAAGAATGTGGAGCTGAGTATAAAACATAAGAGTGTCCAATTTTAATGCAAGGAGTTGAGCAGACAGATTTTGCACAATGGGGGCAACGCCAGCAGAATAATCAATATGGGGAAACATACAATAACAATTGAAAGAAGCATCCCAATTTCTCTTGGAGCAACCAGAATCAGAATAGGCCACAATGTCAGTTTCAACAGCAAGAGAAAAATCCTCAATTGGAAGACATGTTTAGGAAATTCATGGAGAGGACCAATCAGTACATGGAGAAAACCGAAATCACTCTGCAAAACCAGAATGCTGCCATCAAAAACTTGGAAACTCAAATGGGACAGATGGTCATCACTTTGACTGGAAGAGCACAGGGAAATTTGCCAAGTAACACGAAAATCAACCCAAAAGAGCATGCCAAGGCCATCACAACTCGAAGTGGAGTGCAAGTACCTGATATGCATGTCAAAAGGCCAGTCAAGGACAAAGAGAATACACCTTCTGTAAAAGAAGAGACTGTGGAGTAGGATGAACAACCAAACACATCTACCACAAAGGAAAGTTCAGAAAAAGCAGGGAATAAAGAAACAGTTACAGTCAACCCATATGAACCTCCAATTCCATTTCCACAGAAGTTGAAAAATCACAAAATGGAGCAACAATACAAGAAATTTCTGGAAGTCTTCAAGAAGCTCCACATCAACATCCCGTTGGCAGATGCTCTATTCCAGATGCCCAGCTATGCAAAGTTTCTGAAGGACATATTATCAAATAAACGTAAGCTGGAGGATCATGAAACAGTAATGCTAACCGAAGAGTGCAGCGCAAGAATTCAGAAAAAGCTTCCACCAAAATTGAAAGATCCAGGGAGTTTCACTGTCCCTTGCACAATTGGTGATTTTTATTTTAATAAAGCATTTATGTGATCTTGGTGCGAGTGTTAACTTGATGCCACTCTCTATTTTCAGGAAACTAGGATTGGGAGAGCCTAAAGCAATTACAGTAACTCTACAGCTGGCTGATCGATCACTTACACGTCCACGAGGGATTATCGAAGATGTATTGGTCAAAGTGGATAAACTTATATTCCCAGCGGACTTCTTAATTCTGGACATGGAAGAAGACAAGGACGTGTCTATCATATTGGGGCAACCATTTTTGGCAACTGCAAGAGCTCTCATAGATGTGCGACAAAGACAATTGACTCTGAGATTGGGTGAGGAGCAGGCCACTTTTAATGTTTTCAAAGTAATGAAATATCTCACCGAGCCAGACAACTGTTTCCAGATTGATGTGATTGACATAGGAATCCCCTACAATTACGAATTGAAGAAACCACCAGACATACAGGAGGCTGATATGATGCACCCTCAATCCATTCTCACCGACTCAAAGGAGATCGAGGTATACACCGTGGAGTCTCAAACGGATGATGAGGGAGAGTCACACCACGTGAAAAAGGACAGGTTTGAAGTGTGGAGGATAATTGCAATGCGTAACAAGACCATATTGAACAAACTATGCAGGACCTCCCAAGCCATATTTAAAGTGCCATAACACACCTAAGCCAAAAGTCGGGCTATCGACTATAAAATAGCGCTGGTTGGGAGGCAACCCAACGTTCTATCCTTTCATTTACTTCGTTTTGCAATAGTTTAGGAGCTTTTCATTTTTTTAGCATTATCAATAGTTTTAGGTCATCGATCATACATCCCTATCACATGGAGTCTAGGCATGGTCTACACGAGTCTCAATGCACTAAGCACGAGTCATGAGGTTGAAGTCCTATTTTAGTCAGTCATGTGTCAAATTGAACAAAGTGCATGTTTTGAATGAAATTTCTTTGGTGATGCACAATTTTGTGATGTAAACCTTATATTGAGACATAAATTATGCATTCTGCACATCAACAATGTACACATGCACCTTGAAACAAATTTGGGGGA